GCCACCGCCTCCCTTGGGTAACCGGTGAGGCTGTCCAACCTCCCTGAATCCTCTCCGAAGAGATGCCACCGCCGGATATAATTATTGTTGTTGTTGTTTTTGTTGTTGTTGTTGTTGTTGTTGTTACAGTAGTTTGTTATTGTTGTTCCTGGTGGTGAATGCGTTGCAGTTATTGTTATTGGTGTAGCTCCCCCAGTTTTTGTATCTGTTGGCCTAGCTGTTGGTGCAGTTGTTCTTGTTTTGTTATTGTCGTTGTTATTTCCGTTGGTGATGGTGGTGTTTACTCTACATATATACAACTAAGCTCAATGTCTATCTATAAGTTATTTTTAGCGTTATAAACAAATCTAAAGGGTAAAAAAGTATTTTCATTTAACAATTCTTTTATTTCACACTTCTCCAGTTTTATACGTAGATCTAAAAGAATGAAAATAAATTTTTATAAGTATTCAACTTAAAAATGCTCCTATTTCACACTGTTCCAGGCAAGATGTTTGGCGCCAAAATCATCCGCGCCCAGAGAGAGAAGCCTGACCCGGCCAGGCCACATATAAAACGTCCCATGAACGCCTTCATGGTGTGGGCCAGGGAAGAGCGACGTAAAATCCTCAAGGCCTGTCCCGATATGCACAACTCCAACATCAGCAAGATTCTCGGTGAGTTGGGCAACCTCTATGTCGGTGTGTTCGTTGTTTAGCTGTAGTTGTGTCACGTCGCGGTGGGGTTGGGGGGGGGGGTAAGATGGACGAATCATATGGAGAGGGAGGAGACGAAGTAAAATGACATAATAATATAGTGAAATGGTAATTAAAGTACATGGGATGAAGTGAGGGGAAGTAAGGTGGGATGTTGTGCTCTGACATTAATCTAATACACTGAAAACAAAAGTTGTAGTTTTTGTCATCTTCTTATTGGGGGGGGGTTGTTTGTTGTTGTTTTTTTATTTGTGGATTTCATGATTATACATAGAATTATGCAATTTTTCCTTGCGTGTTAGCTCCTAAAATGAAAAAGGGGAGTGCATTATCTTTCTTTCTCTATCTGTTTAACTATTGTCTTGTGAATTCCATGACAATGTTAATGATAGTTAGTAGATTTCTATAGCGCCCAGTTCCCGTTTAGGCCCTGGGCGCTTGACTATCTCCTATCAAGTTTCCTTTAAAAAAAAAACAACAACATTTCTTGTGTGTTTTGTGTGAACAGGCGCCAAGTGGAAGAGCATGTCCAACGCGGACAAACAACCGTACTACGAGGAGCAGTCCCGCCTCAGCAAGCTGCACATGGAGAAACACCCGGACTACAGATACAGGTAAGGGCCTTTTGTCACTTTCCCACTTCTGTGGACGTTCTTTTTTAGTGTTTTGCGTTTGTGTACCTATGTGGATTTGTGTGTGATTGTTTGACTGTCTGTTTGTTTTTTACGGATTACGTTGGTTGGGTTTTTTTGTGAGTAAGAAAGTATTGTCATATGTGGGTGCGGTTTATTTACCAGCGATATCTCTTTTGTGTTTTTGTCATTTTGTCGTCTATCTTGCTTTTTTCTGGGCACTTAACGACCCGTATCGGCTTTCTAAACAAGCAAACAAACAAACTGCGAACTGTCTTTCATTAGGAGTCACTGTGTTTTTGTTAGACCGTCCGTCAGTCCTGTGTGTATCTGGCTACTCGTTATCTGTGACAAGATAAAAGGGGACGTGTAGAGTGGGTGCGGAGTAAGGGGTAAATCATTGTAGTTGCTTTTTGGGGTACACCAGCAGTCAGTTCTCTCCTGCTTTGTTCTTCTTTGTGGACTCGTCGGAAGACTTATATAGGACCATCCATGAAGAATGAAACTGCAGTGACACATTGAAAGTGGGGATCATGACGTGCGGGACAAAATGTAAACCGTGATAAGGTGGATTTTTGGCTTTTTACGTTAGAGGAAGGTTGCCTTTAACAACAATAACAACAACAAAGTGAACATATAATTGTTAAAAATAGTTTTATCCCTGCTTGCTTGGAATTTTTTCAGCAGGCCATCATCTCCGCATTACATGTATCCCTGCAGTTTCTTTTTTCACGGAATGGCCCAATAGCGCAGTCATTGCTAGACCTATCGCTTTGTTCGTAACAACATCAGCATAGATTAGTCTTCCATTTAGCTTTGTAGCAGATCTTCATCTTTTTCGGGGTTTGTTTGTTTTTTCCGTGTTTTTTTGTGTCGTTGTTGTCGTTGTTATTGTTTTGTTTTCCGTGCACCTCATTATTGTGGTTCTGGTTTCATCCAGTCGAACAAGGGCCCCTCCCTGGATTTCACCTATCTCTTCCCACTATACTTTTTTTCTCTTCTGTTTTTGTGCCGAGTTTTTTGCGTGTTGATTTTTTGTTTTTTGTTTTTTGTTTTAATAAGGATTTTAGTCTTTCTTTGGCTTAGTATATAGATAACGCAGCATTAATTAATTTATAGACAGTAGCTACACTTCAATGACTTTTCTATTCATAACATTTTATTATTATAGCGTCGTAGTGTATACATAATGCTACTATAGTACTGTCTTCTCGTAATATGTTGTAGTAGTGTTGCTGTCAGTCCCGATCACCGATAATCTATACGGTGAACGAAGGTGGAACAGATGGATAGAAAATCGTGGCCGGAGGTTTAGCGTGGTGATAATGTGGATGGAAAGGAAAAGGGCCGTCCTTGTCGAGGCAAATTCAACACACATCAACAACCAATAATTCTTTTGACAAACTCCGTCGTACACACTCACACAGACAAGCAAATATACGCACATAGTGCATACACACATGAACGTACTCTTGCGAAAGCACACACACGCTGAGAGAAAGAGAGAGAGTTGCTCATGTAGTGAAAAAAAAAAACAACTCTTGAACATCTGCGCTCAGATGTACAAATTACACAAAATTACTTCTTGTCTTATTTACTGCTTTGTCTCGGCCGGCCTTTCTCTCCTTCGTCCTCACTTTTTGCTCTTCCTGGAGGGCCAAGTGCTGTGCCCCTGTGTGAAATGACCCTGTTTTTGTCCAGTCCTTTAGAACTCTTGCAAACACAACAACCAACTCTGGTGTTATCAAAAAGCTACCGGTACCCCCTTTTGTACACGTCACTACCGGCATCTTCAGTGAAGTCCTGAGGCCCATTCGCCTTGGACGCAACTGACGTGGGTTCGATTCCCGCTTGGAGATATTTTCTCTTGTATCTCTGTCTTCAGCCTCGTATCATGTATCCCCCAGTCATCACCATCACTCCGGGTTACTTTTGACGGGCACTGATAGGCAGTCTGCCTCATAAATATTCTCAAATGTATCGACAGAGGCATAAAATATTCATACACAGAGACATCCACCATGATATGCCCCCCCCCCCCCCCCACTCATCACACCCAGTTAGCCCTGACAAGCAGTGGGTCTAAGCAGCCCACCTCCTGAATAATAGCATTCTAAAGTGTGTCAAAAGGGGCGTCAGACATTTACAATCCCTCCCCCGTACATCTCTCAGGCCACGTCCTCGAAAAAACGGCAAAGTGAAAAAGCTGCTTTCTGACTCCAAGACTGGGGGAGGGGGGGCTCCAGGGGCGTCCACGTCCAGCCTGGCCCTGCCTCGGGATATGAGCCCCCCACCCCAGCACCTCCAACAACTGCAGCAACACCACCACCACCACCTCCACCACCTCCCTCATCACCCTCCACCTCCTCCACTTCTTGCGATCCGGGCGCTCTACCCAAACCTCCCTGTGCCGGCAGGCAGTTGTTCCGAAGAAAGGTACCTACCACGTTTTCGCTTCCCTCCCTCCCCCCTCCTTTCTCCTGACACCCGCCAACCGCCCCCTACCTCCTTTTCTCTCTTTTTTTCCCCCGCTCAGACCCTCAATCCCCATCCCGTCCTCTGCTGTTCTTCCTCCTATCACTCTTCACCAACCCGTTCTCTTACTCTTCAGAGCAGAGGTTTTCAACCCCGTGACATTTTCGAGGGAAAGCGGGAAAGGGGACTTTTTTGTATAGTCAAACCGTCTTATTTTTATTTTCTTAAATTTCAATAATTTCGAATGATTTGTTAGTTTACTTTTAGAAAGGTGTGTATGCGTGTTTGGGGGGGGGGGTAAGGAGGTGGGAGAGGGGGGGGGGCGATCATGGCAGATGGACTTTCAATTCCGTTTTGCTGGAGAACACGCGCTTGGTGTGTGTCTGTGTGTGTGTGTGTGGGGGGAAAAAGGGGGGGGGGGGAAAAAGGGGGGGGGGGTGGGGGGCGCGAGGGGGCTCGCCCCCCCCCCCCCCCCCCCCCCCATTTTTTTGATAATGTTGGATTTTTGAGTGATCGCTTGTAAAGTGGGAAGGGAAGGGGAGACAGAAAGACTAAGAGGTTGAAAACTCCTGCACTGCACTAGACCGATCCAATCTGTGAGTAACCTTAACGAGTGAGAACATTTCCCTTTCCTATTAACAGCCTGCGTCACCATCATTCTGTGGACCTTTCATCCTGAACCCCCCCCCCCCCCCCCCCTCCATCCTCCTCCAACCACCCCCCCCCCCTGCCACGTTCGTTAGATCGTTGGTCAAACGTTTGCTCCTGTTCCATCTTGCAGTGTCCATGACCCACATGACCCAGTGTGTTGTTTGAGTGCGACTCACTGTGTGGTTTTCTAAATGTCTGTTGTCTGTACGTGTGTGCTCGTTGATGCGTCTTTATTTTGTTTGTTTGTTGCTTGCTGTTTTATCTATTCAGTACTTTTTCGATTCAATTCAATGTGATTTAAAAAATAAAATCAAACCAAAGATAATGAGCTGGTACGAAAATTAATTGTGGGTTGTTCTTCAAACGATCGATACAAAATAGATGAATAAATAATTAAGAAATACAAATTAAACAAACTGATCAATTGCCAGAGCATACAAAGAACACTAATGCCTATTTCTTTTTTTCGGAGAACTAGTCATAGGTCTATTGGGGGGGTTTTTCTTAATAAAAAAATGAACAAGTCTACTCTCATTAACATAATCTCCTAATGGACTGCAAAAGAAGAGTACAATGAAATCTAATGATTTTCAAAACGAATATCTCGATTTATACAGAGCTTACATTATATACCGTGTCAGAAGCTGAGAAATTTAGAAATCTGGATATTTTAAAGAAAATAGCAACACCTCTGAACTTAAACAATTACTTCATAGACAACTTAACTTGTTCGTCTGAGATCTCGAATCTGTGTTTTTTTGCCTGTCCTTTGTTTGGTTGTCTGTGTGTTTTATGACGTCCCACCCGTGCTCGTACTAACAGCTTCCCTACGCAGCCCCCCTCCTAGAAGCCTCGGTTTGGGTAGAGTGGCCCTGAGTTGCCTCCTCCTGTCTAACTGTAGCCTCTGCACCACCCTGTCCTAACTCTGTCATTTGATGACTCATCCCAGACCACACAGCCATGCCATTTGCTTAGTTTTTGGATTGCTTTGCGGTGCTATTACCATTTTCACTCCTCCTCGATTTGTTCTTACATTTAGATCTAATACTTTAGTTAGTCTTAGTTTATTTTATGACATTTAGATCTAATACTTTATTTAAACTTAGTTTATTTTATGTCATTTAGATCTAATACTTTCTTTAAACTTTGTTTTTTTTAAAGTCATTTGTATCTAATACTTTATTTAAAATTGGTACATTTTAGGCCTATATCATGTAGATCTAATACTCTATTTAAATCTGATTTTCCTTTTTTATACTTAAGTCTGTAACATTAATATTTTGTTCAGGCGTTAGACTCGAAAATGAAAGACTTCTGATTTTCATTATCCTTACTTTATAGTAGAAAAGAAAACGGTAGAATGAATAAGAGATTTTAATCAAACAATCATTTCAGGGATAATACCTAGTCCCTGCTACAATCTAAAATCAAATACTATTTGTGGCCAGAGTTTCACTTGTAAGAATAGAATAATTTCATATTTGTAACTAGATTTGATTTCTGTTTTCTATCTTATTCCAATGTTTTACCTCGGCTATTCAAAACATGATCCTGAAAAATAGGTAAATATATCACTCCAAAAGTATAACAGAAATTCAACTTATAAGAGTGATATATGACATTACTTAGAAGTTAGCCTACCGATAGTATTGTACTTTGAATAACTTATGGTAATCTTGTATATATTCATTAACTTTTTGAAAAACATAATCATTTTTCACACATTTACAAGGTGCAAATAATTGGTGGCATTTAAAACTGCTATATAACTATAACTCACTATTCTTTCGGGGCACAAATCATTCTTCTTTCGTCGTTTCCGAGAGTACTCTGCTGTATTTAATTACTTTCAATTTTAGTTGGGGGGGGGGGGGGGGGGGTCCTCGCCCTGTTCCTCAAATGTATTAATCAAATTTCAATCACTTAAAGTATTAATTAATAAATCAGTAAATCGACTAATCACCAATTTATCAATTCATAGATCACTATTTTATTTTCTATAGATTCGGAGAATGAATTCTGCTACTCTTTCCGGCTCCGAAGGTTAATCCTCCTCCGTTGAATGAGTGTGATCTAAAATCAAGCAGAAAAAAAGAGAGAGAAAAACAGAGATAGAGGAGGAGGAAAAAGAGAGAGAGGAGGAGGAGGCAGAAAAGAGAGAAAGGAGGAGGAAGAGGACCAGAGAGAGAGAGGGGGGGGGAGAGATAGAAGAGGAAGAGGGGGAGGAGAGAGAAAGAGAGGAGGGAAGGGAGGGCAGTTAAAAAGTTCTCCTCCACAGAAATATTATGAGAGCTGCAATTTTCTTTTTTTTTATATTGAAACGTATTTTTTAGAAAGAGAAAGCTACAGCGGAATTTTAATTATACTATCCTTGAGTGTTCTTAATCGCCTGTTCTGTACCCCTCAGACCCCGCCCTAAGCGCACGTGCATCGTAGACGGGAAGAAACTGCGCATCTCTGAGTACAAGGCGCTCATGAAGAACCGACGTCAGGACATTCGCCGTGTGTGGGAGTACGGGGAGGGAGGCAACTTCCCTGAAGGTGAGTCTGTCTGTCTGTCTGTCTGTCTGTCTGTCTGTCTGTCTGTCTGTCTGTCTGTCTGTCTGTCTGTCTGTCTGTCTGTCTGTCTGTCTGTGACTCTTTTTTTCAACCCTGTTAGGAGTGACCAAGCAAACAGCTGTTGTTGCTTCTGAAATTGTTATGCTAAGGAAAAAGCTTGTCTGCCTAGGATGCAAAAATATATCATTGCCTTTTCTTTTAAAAAAAATTGTTTTCAATAGATTTATTCTGTTTATACACTGCGTGAAGGGTTTATATTACTTGTTTGCTTTTTTTTACACTTGTACCTTCTATTTATTCATAGGAAATTTCAACTTGAATCAGATAGCCGACTATGGCGACTTCATTTTTTTAAAAATCGGGACATTTGCTATATTAAACGAAAACTCGTTGAAAGCGCGTAAAGAAATGTTTAAAGCATCATGTTTAAAATAGAACATCTAGTGTTGCTCTGATACTTAAGCTAATACTATGCTTCGTATCTCCCTTTATAGACGGTGATGTGGGCGACAACTCTGACCCGTCCAACTATGACTCCGCCCACTTCCTGCACGGCAACGAATCAGGCTCTCCGTCTCACAGTCCGAGGGGCGGAGCCAGTACTTCGTCTCCACCCCTTGGCGGCTCAAGCCCCTCCCACTCTCGTCGCTCCGCCTCCCCGAGGAATTCAAATGGCGCCGACTACGATCTGGACGAAAACAGCAGCGAAGACGCCAGCAACAACAATAACAGCATCAACAACAACAACAGCAAAGGCCACGGCCCCAACTTCTTGTACGAGGACAGCAAACTGGCGTCTGCCAGGTTCCCCTTCCACCCAGGACATCCGCTCCAGACCGCTCAAACATCTCCCCTCGGCTTGAGGCTAGACATGCCCTTCGCCCCCTCCTCTTCTTCGCCACCTTCTTCCGCCTCCTCTTCCTCATTTGTCAAAACGGAAGGAGGTGTGGCTTTCCCCAAGCTTGTCTCCGCCCCCTACCCTCTAGGCCACCACTTAGCCGCGCAAGACGCTATAGCCCGTCAACGCGCCGCCGATTCCATGCGCTCCGGAAGTGGCAACGCCCCCGGAAGTCATGATGCAGACAGCAGACGTAAGGCAAGCGGGGATTCCCACAATATCAAGATGGAGTCGGTGTTCCCCCTCATGACGCCCATCTCCGACAATGTAGTACCTTCAGCTACGTCATAGCCTCAACTCATATCTTCGAAGCCAATCTCACGAACAATTTTAGCTTGAATGCCAGTTTCATGAACTCTTGAACTGGACGCCAAATCCGTGAACTGCGATAACCGGGGCATCAAAATGCACGAAGTTCTGGTTTAGACACGAATTTCGTGAACGCAAGGCATATGTGACATTGCCGTTGCCACAAAAGACGTGCTTGGTGCCCGTGCAACTCGTGTTCTGCAACATGATTCTTTGTGTGTGTGGAGGATTCCCACGACAAACCTCTGTAGACTGCCATTCTTTGCACAGTATGTATCAAATTGTAGACATTTCGTCATTTTCTCGTACATGCCATGCCAGTCACAGGGTGCTTGTAATGTCTTTTGGAAGAACATATAATTATATCATACTGGTTTTTGTTTTTAAATCTGTGTTACTTCACTATCTGCAAACGCAGTGGTGGCATTATTTCGCACACCCCATTTTTTCAGCTGTTTTACACAAAATACAAACGGTACTTTTATGAGACGTTTTGTTCTTGTCATCAGATTTCAGCCACTAGTCAAAGAAAAAACAAATGGACAAAGAGGGTAATTTTTGGCAGACCTTTTCTACGTGGCGTTTTGTTTTGCTTGACATTGGGTTTTAAAAAAATGTGGGGCTCTGTGGTTCTTTGAAAGATCGTTGTGCATTGTAGACATAGATGTCAAATACTACCGGTATTTCAACTGTCAGTTAACGGCGTGTATACCTCCACTGATCCTGTTTGAGATGTTCTTCAAGGTGATGCGAATGCCCTTAGAGTAAATATTTCTGTATGTTTGATATTCGCGTCTGTGTTTCTTATTGAAATGTAATTGTTGTCATGACGATAACAACGTTTCTATGTTCTGCTTGTTTCGCTCGTACAACGAAGTGGTACTTTAGACACTAGTTTATTCTCATAAGCAATATAAAACGTGTCACAAAGCAATAGCCCCTGAATGTGCGTTTCTTGTGTGAAAATATTAGCGTACTCTTCCTAAATCTGCAAATTCTCTCAGCACGGTATGTTACGTTCTTTTCCGACACCAAAACACTTTAGTTCAAGTTTAGATCTGAATTTTGGTTCACTATTCCCTTTAAGAAACAAACTATTGTTAGTAGTCTGGGAATAAGATGATTTCTTTTATGTAAAATTACTGTTACTTTTTTTTATATTAAAACTCACCACACTCCAGAAACAAGCAAGGCTCAACATGTCCAAAAGCGATTTTTCATTTTTTTAAATCTGGAATTGCCTTCAGTGTGTCTAATCTTTTTTTTTTTATTGCACAGTACAAAATATTTTTTTAAAAACCAAAACACTCCCTTAAAAGTTGAATCGGACAACAACCTTAAGGTGACGCCAGTTATACTTTTAGTTGACCCCGTCTCCCTGCACGTCATGTACTATACGTTATCTACGTCATACTTTATGCTACCCAGGCGACAACCTGCTCTCCATGATGGCGGGGGCTTATGATTCATTACCTCTATGTCAAAGGTTAAAGGTTAAAGTGTTGTTTTAGTCTTGTTCTTGTTCTGTCGCTTTTCTTTTTGTTTTTTTAACGTCACTCATACGTGGTATCAGCTTGCCTCACGTCCCGCGGTCAATTTCTTTGGTGCTAGTTTTAGTGGTGTTTTTGGTTCCATAATTGTATGAGAACACCTCGTTTTTTGCATTTTGTTTGTTTGGGGAAATAAAAGAACAATCACACAGTAGCGGCCATTTTGTGCAGCGAAATAATAAGATAGACAGAGACAACAGAGGAAAAAGAAAAAGACTTATTGTAGGACCTGCCAGTTGCGCTCTCCAACCAGATACCAGACGCCACCTCCTGTAGCAAAAAAATAAAAAATAAATCCAAATTATCTAGATTAAACAGTTCTTTATTTTTTGAAACTATAAACAGTCTCGAAAACGTTATTCGAACACCGCGGGATTCAAAAGGCACTCATTATACTACAGTTGGGTTCTCGTCTCTCCGTCTCGTTGTCGTCTAGAGCTTCTAGTAGTAAGTGTTAGCACAGTGTGTCGCAACCCCTGTGAACTGGGGGTTCGAATCTGCGCCCACTCGCACAATGCTCAGCCAGCTATCTGTAATAATAGCAATAATTCAATGGTATGCAGTTTATACATACGTATATAAATATAATTATATATATTACAAATATTATATTATTATTAATGAACATTATGATGATGATGTTTTGGATTTTTTTTTCTTTTTTTTTCTTTTTTTTTTTTTTTTTACACAACTTTGATCTCATGAATTCTAGAGGCATTCAGTTGGATGCACTATTCCTGTGTCTCGATTGTTCTGACATTCGTGTTTTACTGTGAACCGACGCCACAAATTGCCAAGGTCTATTGTAAATGTGTTGTTCGATTTTAACGCCCTACTTAGACATATACAGGTAATTTCAAAGACAGTTGCCAGTGTGTATAGAGAGCATATATTTGACATACATGTGTTATCTGATCACGAGGTGTTTGCCGTTGTATGTTGTATATTGTTTGGGTTTTTTTATTTAACCTCTTCTGTCTCTTTTTACTTTGGTATATTACTTCTAGTTTGTACATATATCAGGGATGGACATGTTTATCATTTTTTAAAGAATTATTCAGTTGGGTATTATTCATCTTAAGCAATATTTATGTATCCATTCGAACAAACTTTCATGGTCAGTGATATAATATATATATATTTATATATATATATATATATATATATATATATATATTTGAATATATATACATATTTGAATATATATATACTGCTCATCAGTGACAAATAATTCATAACAAATAATTCATGTGAAATAATTCATGACAAATACTTCATGACAGATAACAAATAGATCTAATCTTGTTTTGTTGTTTTGTTTTCAATATAATTCATGTACAGTACAATATTCTGTATACCGATGTGAGCATGACTTCATTTTCCTGTGTACCCCAAGAACGCATGAGTGGGTTCATACAACCATGACTGAGGGAAGAATGATGGGCTCTTTGAGGGTGAACACACACATACGTTTTGTTGCTTTTTGAAAAACCATATTGTATGTACCAAGCAAACGAAGCACATGAAAAAAAAATTGCTCAATGATTTGTCTCTATACACGAATTTTTATCATGAACCTTCCTTGTTGTTCGATTAAACGCGAGACAAGAAGAAGGACAAAGCGTTGGTGACGTCGTGATATGCTGAGAAGATTGTGTTTGTTGAGTGGTGTGAGTTGCGGTGGGCTCTATGAGCGTTGACAGTTGACACAGTCCCCTGTGTTATATAAGGCCAAGAACCGTCGACGGTGACTGGACTACACAGCACGCACATGTGTGGTGTTAATCAACACACCCTTTTTTTTTTTTGGGGGGGGGGGGGGTCTTTTTGCACATTGTGAGGTTCTGTGTCAGGCGTGTGGGTTTTTTGGTACCGGTGCATTGTCACGCGTGTTGGGTTGACTGGTTGCGATGAATTGCCAGACAAATTGGCGTATTGTCCTGTGTGCTGCCAGAAATGTCGATATGCAGACCTGCCGGTACATAGTCTGACGTATTGGCACACTGTCCAGCTAGTGGGGTATTGCCAGACATGATCTCCCGGGGGTATAAGCCTACTGGAGAGTACACTGACATACGCCTATCGCCTGGGATACTGAAGAACACGCTGATTGGTGTGTTTTATGACATGCTAACTTGCACATCGAACAGCCGGTTGTCTGACCGTGTTTTGTCATGTAAAGGAAACACACACTCCGAGCGCATGGCACGTGATTCGTCTTGTCTGGAAAATATCTTTCTCACTACCACGAAAAAAAACAACATATTTGCATGCTTACTCTTGAACTTGTTGTGGTTAATGTTGGATTCATTTATACCCTTTTCTTTGTAGAAGCTATTGGGTGGCCTAGGCCGCGTATAGCACTGTAGACTAGTCAGAGCATGGGCTGATCTCACTGACATACTTGGTGGATTGGTTCTAAGCTTTTCATTTTTCCCCTTTACCATTGCCTTAGTGATGACCTGCACAAGTAAACCAGTTTACTTTTACGTTTAAATTAAATGAACATTCTGTACACCTCTTTTTTCAAACGTTTAAAAGTTTTTAAGCTTTTCTAGATTTTTTATTTTGGTATTTGTACGTAGATTTGCACTTTTTTGTTTTATTTTTTTGTTTTTACTTTGAATTAAATTTTTACTTTTATTCTTCCTTTTTTTAGTAATTTATTATGGCTAAAAAATCTTCTTTTTTTCTGTAAACGTTCAACGTTCAGAATCAGGACTTTTTTTCTGTGACCATAAATTGGTATTGTTACCTTAAGTTGGTGCTTCCCAGACATTTGCCATAACTTATTGTTTCCTACGGGGATTCAGGTTTTGTATTGCTAGCATTCAATGTAGCCCTTTGATAATTCGTATTTTGTACAAAACTATGACATACTTAGGTGCTAGATTCTGATTTATTGAATGTGTGATTGTGTTCATAATTCATTCACCTAGCTCAGGCTTTTTTAAAGATATCACTTTTTTACATTAATGTTTGATGCCATGTTCTACGTGAATGCGTGAGCGAACGGACTTGAGAACTCTATGGATACAGTGAGGGGTGTTTAGTTCGTTTTTTGGGAGTGAGGTGAGGCTGTTTGTGCGAGAGCGTACTATCTCAGCAGATCATGTTGATGATGTACAGCTGGATTTGGTTTACTCATGGTTTTTTAAAATTTTATTTTATTTGTATTTTGCATGCTTATGTTGCCATGGACAGCAAGGGGTGATTTAAACGGTCGACTACTATATATTTGTGATTAACGAGTCTCTGCGGCGGTCGGACCGATATATTCTCTGTGGTCAGAGCGTTACTACCGCCTATGTTTGTTTCCTTTTGGAGGCATCTGCGTCAATGCTGAACTCTGTCTCCCCGCTATTCAATTTATTTATACTTATGGTTGAACTCCACTCGGCACGGATAGGGCTCAGACGAGAAACGCCATTGTCTCATTACGCTGACTGTTTACTTCACAGAATAAGTACTTATAAGTAGCTACTTTTTCATTTGAAGGGTTCAGCCTTCAGTGCCCGGCCAGGTGTTTGCCGCGATGGCTTATCCACCCATCCCCACCCCCACTCCGTTTAAAAAATAAAAAATAAAAAGAAGATTCTTTAGGAAAAAGAACATTATTATTTAAGCAGCTTAAAGAATAAGACAAAGCTTAAATTCAGTTTTATGAGTGATTACATACATCCCACAGAGTACCATCCTGGCACTTAGGCTACATGTTAATTATTAATATGTACAACTCTACAAGCGATATGAAGATTCACTTTTCTGCGGCATGAATACTTAAAGAATTACAAATTTGTTTAAAACAAGCAAATATAGTACCGGGTACCGGCACCTGTTTGTCCTACTTAAGATATAATACATTGTAACACTTCATCAAGCGGCCTACCATCTGGAAACGATTTGGGGAAACTAGCAAGATACGTTTGACGAGTCAAATCATGAACCTGTGAATTTTAAAAATCGAATAAAAACCGTCTGGTGACTGATTTAAAAGTACAAACCAGCTATCCATTGTTATGCTCAATGGCTCTGCATTATTATGATATTCCAAGGGAGTCGCCATTGCCGGAAGTTAACTAAAAAAATGGACGTCTTGGTTCGGGATTCTTTGTCTTTGAGGCTTTGTGTGATGATCGTGTTTCGTGCTGTGACACCTTCTGTAAGATCTGCCTGGATCTCTCTGTGATTTTTATGTTCTGTTGATATCGAAACTTTCTAGGTATTCAAAATAAGATCCTAAGGAATTACTTAGGTCAATGCTCTGGCTTCTTCGGAAGCAACGAAAACGATTTAGTAACTTACATGTTAGAACTTTAGAATCTGGAATTTCTTATTTTGTCTGGTCCAGAGTGAATTAATTGGGGTGGATCGGGGGCGGGGGGGGGGGGGGAGAAAGGCAAACAACAACAAAATAACGTAGACTGGAGCCATATTAGATTTCTATTACTTTGTTGAACAAAACAAACAAACCAGAAACACATTTTGAGATGTTATTTCTAAAGTTAGAATGTTAGACACACTGAAGTAGGCAACTTTTACATTATTCTACGGGATATACTTTCATGAACCCATTAGATCTATTTCTAGTTTAAATGATGAAACGAAACATCCTCTAACTAAAATATTTTAGCTTATTAATAGGTGTTTCGAATACATGTAAATCTCCATATTTTTATTATTTTGAAACCAATGTGTGAAACTCATCCTAAAGAACCACTGTCTTCTCTATGATAAATGACTTGATCACATTAGAGTTTTACTTTGCTCTGACTTTCACATTTTGTTTGATTTTTTCCCCTCTCATTACTTTATACAGCAGAATATTGTGGTGATATTTGAAGTTATTGCTGTGTTTGTCGAGGGAAAAACCCAACAGTCTTTTCTGGCTCTCTGCGCACTTTTTACAGAACATGTTTCAGAAACAGAAAATTCGACATTTTCATTTTAGGCATAACAGAACTGTTCCATGAAAGTTTTATAAAATCAATGCCCAAGAAAACAAACAAACAATCAAAACAAATAGTTCTGATAACAAACACATTTTGTGGGCATATTATTTCTGTCAGTCTAGATTCTAGTTTCTTTTTTTTTTTTTTTTTTTTTTTTTGGGGGGGGGGTGTTTTTGAAAGCAAAGTTTTTAACAGACCACTGATGGAAACAAATATTCGCCCCCATATTCTGCTGTGTGTATTTCTTCATCAACTTTGACATCGGTAGTCAGCACTTAGGAGACTCTGTGTTACTGTCTCGTTGTTGCCACTGTCACATGTCCACGTATCAGT